TTCCTCCTGTATGTTTAATATAATATACGTAATTTTTTTATTTGGCTAACACTGTTTTTTTTCCTTGTCTGTGACAGTGTGGACCAAACAGGGGCTGTGAAATGGACTGTGAAGCCAACAGTGATGTAAGTATTGATGCAAATTTTAACTGAACCTTCTGAATCTGAGCACTCCCCAGCTTATCTCTGTACTTCCATTTAGCAGTGCATTTCTGTGTCTGTCTGCAGGATCTGCTCTGTTATTTAGTAGATGACGGCGGATTCCTAATTATGTCCAATCAGAAGGACGACTGGAACAAGGTTTTATTAAAAAAGAATTCGTTCTTCCGCTGATCGTAGCCTCTCGCTTAGCTTTACACTGAGCTTGGCCTCGTGTTTTTTATCCCCACAGGTGGGCATGTTCTTCAGTGATGTTGACCCCTACTTGATGTACGCGCTCTACAACAATTCTTTCTACAACAGCAAACAATCGTTTGATTACCAGTCTGTTTGTGAACGGATGCCCAACAGCGAAGCCGGAGCTGCACCCAGAGGAGTGTTCGTGGTAAGATAACACTTGAAAGAGAGATACCGTGAGTGAAATGAAGGAGGCAGAGTAGAAGACAATTAGTTTAATCAATGCATGGACGTATGGGGAAACTATAGCTGCATTCACACTGCAAGTCTGTGTGCAAAAATCAGATCAGCTACTGACTTTTTAAGAATTATTTTTTGTTTAATTGGACTAATATCAGATTCCAGGGTGAACTCGTGAGAGATATCGCTTTTATATTAAAGTGGAGGCAGATAAGAAAAAAGGTTCCATTTACTTTATAGACTTTCTCCACACAGGTGTCAGTGGATGTGGCGTCAATGGCAGGAGTTTGATTCCAAAAGCAGCCCGAATGTAGCCTAATGGGTGTTTGATTGAACTTAAATATTGATTTTATTTTTTATTTCCCTCTGAATCTGTAGCCCACTATTGCAGATTTTGCCAACCTGGCTTGGTGGACATCAGCTGCTGCATGGTAAGATTATTAATGTATAGTAACATACAGCAAGTGTTATACGTATTACAAACTCATAATATTTGTTGTTATTAGCCAGCATTATTTCATAGATCCATAATTTGTTAATACAAAAAGAAAAAAGAAAAAGTTTGGGCCAGGTGAACCCTGCTCACATAATATTTGGATTTAATTCAAAGTGTTGAATTTATATTTTACTTCTCTTCACTGTTATTTTAAATACCCAAAGACCATAATTTGGACAGATGAAACAAACATTAACTTGAAACAAAGCATGCCACATCATCTGTCAAACATGGTGGAGGCAGTATTATGGCATGAACATATTAACTGGGCCAGTAGGGTTTCATGATGTTGTGACTGCTAAAGCAGCAGGATGAGCTGTGACGTGTACAGGGCTACACTCTCAATCTCAGATTCAGCTAAATGCTGCACAATTTATCAGACAGCGCTTTGGGGTGAAAATGGATAATGACCCGAAGGATAGTGCAGAAACACGAAGGAAAGAAATGGTATATTCTTCAATGATCTCAGCCCAACAGAGCGCATTTTTCACACACTTAAAAAAGGCTGTTTTAAATGACTACATTTAAAACAGTCCTTATATTTAAAATAATGTTAGTATGGGAGACTATGTAAAACAATGTGTATAATACCTGAACAGTTACTGCACATATTTTTTGTTAAATTACTTGAATTAAAGCTGAAAGTCTGCATTTCAATCACATTTTATACTGTACTGTATTGCACTGCCATCATTGTCATAGTTATTTCTGTGGTCAGGTAATTGTGACTCGTTTTGTAAAATTTTATGGCTTGCCATACTCATTACCTGGACTGCTGCATGTGCAGTAGTCCTGCTAACAAAAAAGCTTGACTCATGACTTTAATTATTGCACAATGTTAAATTAAATGCAAAATACATTGCAGAAGACGTTTTTTTTTTTGTCCACAAGTTGAATTAAAAACAAATCCTGTCTCTTCAGGTCCTTATTCCAACAGTTCATATATGGACTGGCATACCACAGCTGGTTCGTCACAGGTGGGTGACATGTTTTATACGATACCATTTTTATAACGATATTGGAAAAAAGGTTTAAAAGTGCTAAAAGTAGATTTTGATCAAACCTATTTGGAGCTTTAAGCCAACAGCAAATAAACCTTAAATCCAAATATAGTGAAAAAATTACACATGACATACATCTTTGGGCATTAAGCTGAAAATCAGACTGAGAAATGAGTTAAAGAGATAATCATTTCCTGTTGTGTTTTTTTTTTTTTTTTTTTTTTTTTTTGGATGCAGATGAGGTGGATGCCGAAGGAATCGACTCTAAAGAGAGAAGCTGTGTAATGATCCAGACCCAGTACTTCTTTAGTAATCTCAGCAGTTCCTACTACATACTGCAGGACTGTGGCAACTGCTCCAGGTCTGTATGCGTGACATAGTACTCTTAACACTCACACATAATCAGACATGCATATGCTTAGACAAGTAGCATGAAGAATCGCGGTGTGACAGCGACGCAGTTAGTGAGACAGATTCATCTTTCTGTTGGAGTTAATAAACTCTGCTGATGATTAACCCATATCAGCTCTAATGAAATCGTCGTATCATTGGCTAAATGAGCCTTATAAGACTGTCTCATGAATCTCGCTCATCCATTAGCAAATGAGTCTGTGATGTAAGCGAGCAGAGGGGGGTTGTTGACAGAGCTGTCTCTCTCTGCAGGCTGATTCATGCCAAGAGGATAAACAACACCAACTTGCTGTTTGTGGTAGCAGAAAAGATGCCATGCAACACCTGCGAGATAGAGAAGCTATCCCAGGAGGAGAAGGAGTGTATCCTTTTTTTTTTTCTTCACATTGTACACCAGCTGGCACAGGAGAAGAAACACTCTGTCATCTCTAGATTTTCTCTCCTCATCACCATACCTGTGGAAACGTGAACATTTCACATTCATTTTAAGGCTATTTTTAAGATTGATGACATGAATTATAGCCAGTCATTTACATGTGTAGGGCTGCATGAGGAATTGGTGCTCAGGCGGATAATGAAAAATTGCACAGAAGAAAGAAAAAGAAATTCAAAGGAGTTTCATTTTCCTTAATGGAGTCAATTTTCAGTCAAGGAGGAGGATCCATGTAAAGAAACGCCTGAGGCACGCTATCGAAAAGGACCCTCCACCTGCTTCGACAGTAACATCGCTGTAAGATTTTCAGATAGCACAACACATGAATATCCACCTTATTCTGAAGAAAAACAAAAACATTATTTAGCATTGAATCCTGGTGCTTGTTAGTTAAATATACTATGTTTAAAATTTGTCATCAGAGCATAGCTAAAATCCTATCGCTATGTTCAGTTGGCTCCAGCTGGGGTTTTGAGCTCTTTCTGATTTTCTAATGCAGCTGGTAACAGTTGGTTCATTATGTAACACAAAAAAATATCCTATTTTTATTCTCAGATCAAGTATTGACCTGGTAATTATATGCCGTTAGGTCCATTATTTGCTGGATAAAGACCCAGTTTTTGTAGATTTGCCTCTGTACACCACAGCAGTGGATTTCAAAAATCAAACAATCAAGATGCTTTAATTCAAGGGATTTTGTGAAATTTGTTGCATTAAGTGTACTGAGGCAAAACTAACAAAAATTGTGTGTACACTTTTAAAGATTTACATCTCACATTAACAGACAAACATTACAGTGACGTTGCAGGTTTTTTCATGAGATCACTGAAAATTACACAAAAGTGCCATCCAAGTCAAAGCATTTGTTAGTTATCTGATTATTTTTTTCAGTCCCAGACCTCAAGATTTCAGTGAGATCATTAGTGATGTGCGGATCGATACTGAAATATCGATTCTTCCGATACCAGTCATTTATGTTCTAGAATCGATTCTCACATTAAAATATCGAT